TACAGAAAACCAAAATATTCACAACTGAACCAATATACAACATTATGATAAATGGAGAAAAGATTGAAGTTTTCAGGGATTTCACCTTGTTTAGATTTGCAATCAATGCTCATGGAACCAGCAGTCAAGATTTCAAACAACTGATTGCATTGGCTAAATCTGCTGCACAAGACCTCCTTAAAATGTTGAAAAGCAAGGATGTTACTTTGAGTAGTAAAGTGTGCCTGACCTAAGCCATGGTATTTTCCTTCACCTCCTATGCTTTTGAAAGTTGGAACATTGAGTAAAGAAGGCCGAAGACGGACGCATTTGAATCATGGTGCTGGTGAAGAATACTGAAAGCACCAGGACTGCCGAAGAACAAACAAGTCTATCTTGGAAGACATAGAGCCAGAACGTGCCTTAGAAGGATGGTGAGATTGGACATGTTATGAGGAAAGATCGGTGCTGGAAAGGACATCACGCTTGGTAATGTAGAGGGACAGTGCAAAAGAGGAAAACCCCCGACAAGACGGATTGACACAGTGGCTGCAACAATGGGAACTACTGTGAGGATGGTGTTTGGTTCTATTGTGCCTAGGGATCCCTCTGCACTGGAACTGACTCGATGGTACCTAACAACAAGAAGAATCGAAAGGAAGAGATCTGGCAGCATATGGGTTCTGGGTTGGGCTGCTTACTGCGAGGTCAGCAGTTCAAAACAAGCAGTGACTCTAAGAGAGAAAGATACAGCTTTCTACTCCTGTAAAGATTTATAGTCTCAGAAACCCACAAGGGCAGTCCTGTTGTCCTACAGATTCCCTTGAGTCAGAATCGACTGGATGGCAGTGAGCTTGCGTGTTTGTTTATATTAAGGGTCCCAAGAACCTGCATTTGTCAGGGTGTCAGATGACAAGTGCAATATGGAGGTCATTACTCTGAGGAAATTACTGCCTGAAACAAATTCTCTACTATGACGTTTAAACTGGTTTGAGCAAACTGTGGCTATTTCAGAGCAGAGAGGAATCCTCAAATCTACTTTATTCTTCTGATTTTTCAATCTTGGCAACTTAGCAACCAGATGAGTTCGCCTAATGAACATTATCTGTTCGGAAATAACCTAAATTGTTTCTACAAGTTTTCAACATGCCACAGCAGATGAACTGTAGCTACCAACAGTTACTAAAATCCAGCCAAATGCTTTCTTTGGGACAGTATACCCCACAAGCTGGCTCTGGGATAATTTTATAAAAGGGGTGCTATAAGAAAATCACAAATGTGGCTTCCAATTCTGCTGAACTGCCTTACAGGCTTATGAGAATGTTTAAAAGATCTGCAAGGAAATGATATATATATATATATAACGTGCAAACATTTCCTATTAGGTTGAAACAAATATATTAATTTTTTCACATTTCATTTGCTCTCGGCGCCTCTCCCAGTGGTTTGCAAAGGGACTTCCCGAAGGGTTCCTTCACCATTAAGGTCTGTGACTTGGAATTTTTTTTACAACCTCTTTTCCTTACCCCTCCCTTACTGTGTCTCTTTTCCTTGATAACCGGCCCCTTTTCCCCTATTCATGAGTACATAAACCTCCTGTGTGTGTAAGACACTCATTTCTGTTTCTGCCTCCTCACAGTTGCAGTCACTTTCGTCCGTCCCGGAAATGCGCATTTCCGAGGGGACAGTCTGTGCCAGACACCCACTGGGCGCTAGAGACCAAAGATGAAGACACAGACTTCCTACTCTAGAGTGGCTCACGATTCTGAAGAGAGATCCACAGACAATTATAACACAGAGCCGTGTGTGCTCTAACTAACCGCGGAACTGCTAATGATAGAGCAACTCTGCTGTTTTCCCTCACCAAATTATAAGTAAGATATTTGAGGGGTCCCGTCACACACAGCGTGTACATCATTGGCACAATAAAATTTGAGTGACAGAGAGATGAAGTTGAGTAAGATGCAGCAGCAATTGTTTCTGGAAATAATGAGCCATTTCATTAGGCTAACAACCTGGTACCTCACTGGAATCTAAGTGATTTGATTTGAAGGGCAAAAGACTGGCTAGTTAGCACCCAGTATTGACCTCAAAGGAGTCTTGCTTGGTGCTCTGGGAAGGTCTGCAATTCAAACTCACCAGCCGCTTCATGGGCGAAACATGAGGTTGCTTGTTCCCATCCAGAAGTATAGACTGTGATCAGCGATAAGTCAGAACAACTGAATGGCAATGGTTTGGTTTATGGGTATTGACCTCAAGGTGCTGTCAATTCCAGGAGCCTCATTTTTCTTATGCACGAGTCTCCCTGGATTTGTTTCTCTAGTCTACCCAGACTAGCACAGATGAGTTCCCCTTTCTCACCCTTACCCCTCCCTGACCACCCCCCTACTCTCATGATATCGCTACTCTCACTACTGTTCCTGAGGGGTCTATCTTTCCTGAATTCCATGTGTCAAGAGCTCTTACCTGTACCAATATGTGTTCTCTGGTCTAGCCAGATTTGTAAGTAAGGTAGAACTGAGTCATGGTAGTGTGTGTGTGTGTGTGTGTGTGTGTGTGTGTGTGTGTTGAGGGGAGAGGGTATTCAGGAACCAGAGGTGATGTGTGATTCATTGGTGCTGTACTACACCTTGGTTGAATCATCCCTTCCTTATACAACTTCTGTGGGGGCATGTCCAATTGTCTACAGATGGGCTTTTGGCCTCTACTCCAACTCCCTCTTTCACATCGATGTAATTGTTTATTTTCGATCTTTTGATACCTAATGCCTGATTCTGTCGATACCTCATGATCGCACAGGCTGGTGTGCTTCTTCCATGTGGGTTTATTTGCTTCCCTACTAGATGACCGCATGTCTGACTTTAAGCCTTTAAAGACCCCAGATACTGTATCTTTTGATAGTCTGGCACCATCTGCACTCTTCACCACATTTACTTATGCACCCATTGCCTTCAGCGATCATATAGGGAAAGTATCAAAGAGTGCCAGGTTATCAAAAACAAAATGTTCTTGTGTTAAGGGACGCCTTGAGTAGAGGCCTAAAATCTACCTGCTATCTTAATACTTAACATATAAATATATGTGCATTGGCCTCTATCCCTTTTGTTATAAATATACTGTATTTCATATGTACATGCTTATAGCTATACCTCTATAAATAGCTTTTGCCTCCTCCTATTACTATTGGTTCTTGATCATATGGTAGCTCTTGAAATGACTGGCAGCAGGAAAGGTTTCTATACTTTCATACACTTATTCAATCTGCATGCTGAGCAAATAAAGAGATTGGACTATCTGAAGAATATGGCATCGGGATTGGAGGAAGGCTCATCAGCAATTAGTGGTATGCAGATGATACAATCTGATGGTAAGTGAGGAGAATTTGAAGCACTTACTGATGAAGATCAAAGACCACCCCCTTCAGTGTGGTTTACACTTCAATGTAAAGAAAGTAAAAATCCTCACCTAACAACAGTAGTGACCTAAAGAAAAACAATCACAGGACTTCACACCTGAGGTCTAGGCAGCAAAGAGAGGGTGAGTGAAGCAAGGCCCAGATTCTGGCCAACCTCTCTGCCCTGCTTGTGGCTGAAATAATTCAGGGAGAAGCAGCGTCATTAGTATTGAGAATCAGTCTTCTTGTCTACTCTATCCATCCAAACAGGGAGCATATAAATCGATGGGCGTCTCACTTGGCAATGACCTGCCAGTGACTCCTGCATTTTTCAGACACTGGGGCTTTCACATGTTGATTGAAGTGCTAGACATCTTTTTACATATAACCAACCAAGTCAGCTGTACATCCAGTATCCTGCTGTGACCCAAACCAAAGACCCCTTCATCTCTCGCATGGATTTTCACGTGAATACGTTCGACGAATATTTTTTAAAGTATTTTCACAATAGAGTAAGAGGCAGAGGGAATTTCTTACCTACAAGCTCACCAGAAGAAAACATTTGATGTTTACAAAGAAAGACTGTTTCTTTGATACATACTCTCAACCGATGAAGTATTTATTAAAACGAAGCACTTTGAGATGCCTCTGGCATGTTTTTATACCATGCTCACATCTTATTATTGGTGTCCAATATTTTCCCTTTTAAACAACCTGAACTTACTATGCGTTTATTTCCTGTAGACCTACTTTGCATTGGGGAGGTACCCCACAGGAATGGTGACTAGTCTCCTCAGGGGGAAGTTTGGGCCAGAGTGACTCTGGAGAGGCGAGTGCAGTGGGGTAGCGTTGCATCAGGGGAACAGTGAGGTCTAGGAAGCTGAGGGTCCTTCCCTGGATTTTAAATCGCGGACATATATCCACTGCATATGGAATGGAAAAAGACCTCCCCTATAAAGGAGGCATGAGGAAAAAAAATGATGGTATGCAAAAGGGCAGGAGTCTTTGGGGAATCAAAGTGTTCTGTGGGGCAGAGATGCAGATGATGCCACTGGAGCCGTGGGCTGAAGCCGGAACACTAAGGACTTTAGCACCGCCGGGTAGAGAGCCTGAATTGTATCGCACAGGAAGTATGATCTGGAGCCCTGAAGGTCTACGAGAGGCTGGAATCTGTTTTAGGAAGGCAAGTGCGGTAGCCGACAGAGAGGCAGCAAGGAGAGCAGTTAGACAGCGGTTCTCAACCTGTGGGTCGCGACCCCTTTGGGAGTGGAATGGCCCTTTCGCAGGAGTCGCCCGATTCATATCAGTAGCAAAATTACAGTTATGAAATAGAAATGACAATGATTTTATGTTTGGGGGTCACCACCATATGAAGAACTGTAATCAAGGGTCGCAGCATTAGGAAGGTTGAGAACCACTGAGTTAAAAGGTTATTACAACAGCTCAAGCAAGTGGCTATGCAGATTATCTGACAGGATGGCTCTGTGCTATAAAGGCTCCAAACATGTTTCTCATAGGTTCTCTAGGTAGACATGAGTTTCCCCCTGCAGTTATATCTCAGTGCTGACATGTCTCATGCGGTTCATAGATCATATTGCACATGACAGTAAACAGATAACTCTCTTACCTGAACAAAGCTGTTCCACTTTTGTGTAGTTTAAGGATACTATGTCATTAACCCAGGCAATGATGTCATGTCTGCTCATAGTCTCTTGGGTTATCGAGGTAGAATACACATTGACCGCCATTCCCCAGCTGGAAGAGAAAAGAGGTGTATTTATCTACAAGTGAAACATTAACTTAGACACATAAAAGAAGCCTACTGAAGATCAGGGTCGCTGGCAGAGAGCTCTTGCCGTTGCAAGAATTCTGCTCCGACCTCTCTGGTTCTCGCTGTCCGGTCTACACTGGTCTAGCTGCTAGACCAAGGACTCTAGTGTGTGCTTTCATGGAGGACCATTTGAAGCAACCCTAAACTAGACCCCAATGCTCCGCAGGTTCTGGATTTCAGATTTATAAAACTATTATTTCACTATTGTCCTTAAGTCAGTTTTTAAAAAGGTCTGTAACAGTATACACCAGAATATTCTTCTTAGTTTTACAAATTTCATAGCTCACACAATTACTTGCCAATCAGCACCTCCTCCAATCTGCTCCTTTTTTGAAGTGCAAACTGAAGCTCAATTGTAATAGCTGCTCAGATTACAAACACTATCATCACTATCACTGGACCCCTCGCCCTCACACCTCCATCCAGTGAATCAGCTAGTCCTACGGGCTCTACCTTCTGAGTATTTTCAGAAGCGGCCACACTGATGCAATCTTCGTCTCTCTCATCTGAAGTTTTACGTGCTTGATATGCAGAGCTTGCATGTTTGATCATGCTTGGTAAAGTAGAGGGTCAGCGTAAAAGAGGATGACCAAAAATGAGAAGGACTGACACCATGGTTGCAAAAGTGGGCTGACACATAACGAGTGGGAAGAAGGTGCAGGAATGGGCAGTGCTTTGTTCTTTTGTAGTTAGGGTTGCAATGATTCAAAAAAGACTAGATGGAACCTAACAGCAATAGTAAATGGCATCTCAATTTGTACTATTGCCCTCAGCCTGTTGTCAACACAGCACCAGAGGGAACCTACTGACATCAACATCAGATCTTTTCCTTAGCTCGAATCTCCCCGTTTCATCAAAGTAAAAGTCAAAGCTCTTAGTTTTAGAAGGCCTTAAGGGTCTAACTGACATCTTCTTCTACCCTTTCCTTACCATTCACTCTGCCAGCACTGGCCTCTCTTGGCTGTTTATTGAACACTTCAAGCGTACATCAACTTTAAGGCTTTAACACTGCTGTTGTTTCAGTCAAGAACATAGCTCCACATAGAAGGGTCCATCCTCCGACACTCTGACAGCGTGCTGCTTTCATGAGATCTTCAGCATGTGACAATGCTTCCATGTTATGTGTAAGGTTTTCAGCCACAGCATCCTCCAAGGTGGGCAGCCAAGTCCTTTTCAGAGTCTGTTCTTAGTCTGGAAGCTCTGCTGAAAGCTGTTCACTTTGGGTGGCCCTGCTGGCATGTGAAATACTAGTAGCATGGCTTCCAGCATCACAGTGACATAGAAGCCACCATAGTATGACAAACTGATTGGCAAATGCTGGTTTTAGTTCATGAATTAATTTTTTTAATCTGCCATTTAAAAACTGTTTGCTTTTGCTACTCAGTGATGTAGCGTACTAATCACAAGGTTGGTGGTTCAAATCCACCTCGGGAGAAAGCTGAAGCTATCTACTCTCATAAAGATTTCGCCTCAGAAACACTTTAAGGCAGCGCTAATCTGTCCAATTGAGGTGTTATGAGTTGGAATCGAGTGGGTGGCAGTACATTTATGTGAATTATATAAAACATTAGTAAAATAATACAAAATATGTTGAATATTAATATACAATTAAAATATTTCAGATCGGTTGATGTGATTTTCATACAGTTACATGATTTGGCACAGTTGATTTCTTTGTCTAATATTCCCTCCCCTCCGGCACGCCCCCCCCCCCCCCCCCCCCCCCCCCCCCCCCCCCCCCCACACACACACACCTCAGGCAGTGGTGTAGAGGCCCAGAACGGTGCTAGGTGGTATTGAACCAGCTTGAGATAAAAATATGCTCTAGGTGATTTTAAAACAAAGCTAAACGCAAAGCAAGGTAGATAGAATCACATCTGTGCTTCAGAAAGATAATCCACATGCAAGTGAGTCACAATTTTCTGGGGAGAAGGACCAGTAAGCAATCTACAAGACAAGGGCAGGTACAAGAGTTATGGCAGCAGCTTTCTGTCAGTCCATGAAAACAAGGAAGCAAACAGCTTACTGCAGGTTTCATCGGTGAATCACCCTTTCCAATGAAAGACAGCATGCGCCCTTTCCTAGATACACGGACCGTAACACAAAAAAGCCAAACAAAAGCACTATCTTCCTTCAAAGAGCTGACAAGGAAAATAACCTGATTTGCACTTTTAAAAAGACACCAAAAATACCCCCCAAAAAAACCCTCATTTGTGCCTAAACTTCTATTCTAACTTTTTCTACCAGAACCTTCTCAAACCAAGATAGCTGCAAACACCATGGCTCCGATTCCAGCTCACAGTGAGCTGGAGCACAGAGTAGAACTACTCCACAGGTTTTCAGGGCTGTGATCTTTATGGAAGGTACCCTGGTGACACAGTGGTTAGAGCACTCAGCTTCACCCAAAAGAGCGGTGGTTTGATTCCGTCCGCTGGAGAGAGACCGGCAGTCTGTTTCTGCACAGATTCACAGCTCTGGACACTCTTTGGGGGCAGTTCTACCCTGTCCTACAGTGTTGATCTGAGTCGGAATTGACTCTTATTTTGGTGTTTGGTGGGTTTTAGTTTGGAAATCTTTACAGAAGAACGGTACATGTGGGTGGCTGGTATCAGGATGATGAAGTGGGAATATGTGTTATCTTCACTGCTGTTGTTTTAGACAAGAACATAGCTCCACATAGAAGGGTCCATCCTCCGACACTCTGACAGCGTGCTGCTTTCATGAGATCTTCAGCATGTGACAATGCTTCCATGCTATGTGTACGGTTTTCAGCCACAACATCCTCCAAGGTGGACAGCCTTGGACATTTTAGAAATTAGCCTAATGGCTGCTACCATTCAAGCAGGGCCAAAAATCAATGACAAAATATTCTAAAGTTTTGTCCAAGAACAAACCTGGCAAGGTTTATAGATGATTCCAAAGGAGTCTTCAAAACCAGACAAATATGTACAGCTAGCATTTTATGTGTGGCCTTTAACTAAAATGACTTCTTACTCAATGCATTTTGTCTTTCTGGCTCACCCCACCCCTTACAAACAGAAGATTATAGCCATACTTGGGAAGGAGCTCCTTTGCCTGACTTCCTCCATTCACGCTTTGATCACACTTCTCTTGAAGTAAAATACTCTTTCCAGCAGTCTTAACAATAGGCCAGGTGTTCCAAGATCCTGGCATGGGCCCTGTGTTGGGTGTGTGGCTATGGAGAGACGGGTCTGAGTGATTAAATTTGGGAAGGAGGCATGTGGAGCCCATTTTCAGCTTTTAAGAACTGAAGTCTGGGCTTGCCAGGCCTCCCAAGTTTAGACAAGGCCATCTGCAGAAGAACATTCTTCTGAAAGTGGGTGACAATTGTCCGCTGCTCTGTAAGGAGGTCCAGCTGGCTTAGATTTATCATAAAACCCACTTTGAGGCTGAGTTTTTAAAATCCCTTCCTGACTTCAATTACCTTCTTTAAGTAACTCTCTAAAGGAGTCCAGAGGAGCCCTGGCAGCATAGTGGGTTACACGTTAGGCTGCTAATTGCAAGGCCAGCAGTTTGAACCCACTAGTTGCTCCATGGGAGAAAGCTGAGGTTCCCTGGTCCTGTAATGATTCGCAGCCTGGGCAGCCCACAGGAAGCCTACGCTGTCCTTCCTATAGGATCACTATGAGTTGGCACCGACCCGATGTCAACCGTGGGTGAGTAAAGGGCTCCACATCCACAGGGAAGTGTCACGTTTCTGATAAACTCTTCTGAAAACCCATCCCACCCCAGGCTAATGTCATCTATAGTCTGTCCACTCTGACACCTGTGTCCATGTTTGTGACTACCTTTATTTCCTCTCTCTCACTGAATTCTCATTCCTTGGGGCATTCTTTGGTTAAGGTTTAAGGACTGTCCAGGGTGGCCAGTTCTTGCCCAGTGGGTAAGAGGGATGCTTATTTCAAATGCACGTGCAAGCATGAAGAATTTGCTTTGTTTTTCTAACAGCATTGGCCATTTTGCTAACACTTCTAAGTAGCCACAAATATTATGGTAACAGTTTACTTTGCCAACATAAAAGGAGAAAATTTAAGCCAACCATTGATAACGAGAGATGAACACGCAAGAACAAGCTAGTTAGTGCTGTATCTTTATAAAAATAATCTGCAAATTTCTTGAAACAAACAAACAAAAAAGGTATATTCAGACCACGGGTCAAAGGACAGAACCCCACAAGACCACTTCTGCATTAGACTATATAAGGGGGCTTCAAAGGGTCGTGGGAAAATGGAAGTAAAACATAAGAGAACTTTCCCACAACATCCATGCAGTTCCTTATGTGCTATCAATCCAGGGGGCATGATTTAGTACAACTGAACACATTTTCATCTAAAAGGAAAAAAAGCCCTGTAATAACACAAACAGACTGCCTCAGCACCTCCTTCCTGGCTCCCGTAAGAAAAGATCAGTGTTCAATCTCTTGCAGCTGTCTCTGGTAATAAACTGGGCATCAGTGGGGAGTGATACATGATTGTGCCCTCTAGGCAAGAAGCTTGCCCACTTTTCAGCAGCACATAATTCTCCTCAAGGAAAGGGCATTCTCCAGATCATTTTTTACTTATCACCCTCTCTCTCTGCCATCTGAAGCCTGGGCAGAGGGAGCAGAGTTTGTTCGAGGAGGTAGCTGGGGCTGACTAAGGAGGGAGTCACAGACGGTGTCCATGAAAGGCAAACTTGACAAGACAAAACCTCCCCAAAGAAACATCATGGGAACTTGTATTGCGTTTCATTTAAAATCAGTTATCAGAGCTGCCGGTAGGCTTGTGGAATGATTGATCTGTGTGTGAATTTCAGAACTGGGATGGGAATTTAAGAGGTCATTTATTGTCCTTGGGTAATAACAAACTTTAGCACTGTGGGCAGATGTGCATCTGTTTTGTCGTTAGAGGGCCCTGGGATGCTG